CTTTCATCATGGGGTGAGCTTTAACAATTGCGATGGGCATTAGAACGCCTGGAAACAGCCAGACGTCATTTAAAATGGTTTCCTTTAATGACACAAAGGGAATTTCTTCAATGGGGTGGAATTGATGTCCGACTAGCACATGTCATTAAAGATGAAGAAACGAAAACCGCCATGAAAATTTTACAGAATTATCGCAGACTCATGGATGTAGATGAAATGGGGAGTAGCTATAAGGTATTTGTAGCACAAACACGAAGCTTTCCCAATGTGTCCCCTTTTTTTCGGGAATTGCCTTTGCCTCCACTCTAATTATTAAGAAAACCTTGACAATCTACATAGGGGTGATGGAATAGATTTATATGAATTAATTATAGTATTGCTAATTCATAAAGACTATTGTCATGCTTTTTTCTTTTTTAGTTTTTCATAAATGTGTTTGTTTTTGCATTGAGAGCTTTGTTTAGGAGAATCCTTTTTACTCCTTCTTCTTACGTTCTCGAATTAGATATTGGAATTTACTGCAATTACCATCATATATAAGTCTTTGGTTGCATAAACAGCTGGTGAAGGCCCTGGGTTTTACTCTTTATGATAAGAATTCTTTTGGGAGAAAATGCTGCCCATTCAGCTCCTGTTACTGTTACTATTCGACGTATTGCCTTTTTAAGGGCGACCCATCTGAGATCGAAAAATTGCGACAAATTTGTTTTTTCTTTAAACAATGTGAATATAATGGTTCAGCAGCGGCGTTATTTCAAAAGGTCTACAAAACTTGAATTTCGAAATATTACGGAAAATACATTGGCTGATACGCCTTCAGGTTACATTCAGGATCCTGCTAATCATCCAAAGCAGATGGTAACCTACAGGAAAATAGCACCGGAGGAACACGCGCTCCTGGAGGAGATGGAAATTGAGTATGATTTGATGCACCGTGAAGAGTTGGCATACAATGGTTACACAACAATTGCCATTCAGAAATGGAAGGAAATTGTTCTAAAGAGCAATAGTACACCAGAGGAGCTTGAGTCCGCCTGCGCGCACCTTCAAGAAACTCTTAACGAGATGCAGAATATGATTGGATATACAGTGGAAAATAAAACCTCAACACGGTTGTTGCAATCGTCCGTTTTACAAGGTGAGAAGGATACAACCGATGAACATTTGAATGATGTTGTTGTGATTAGTGAAAATGATTGTAATCATGTGCGATACATCATTGCATTGGCAATGAGAAGACTCCAGGATTATGAAAAGGCTGAGAAAATATGTATGGAAATCCTCTTATCAGATCACTCGAACTGTGATGCCTTAGAGTCTCTTATAGAGCTATACACAGGCACTGAACAACCACGAAGGCTTTGCGAACTATTTGACAAAATTCAAACCTGGGATAATGAAGAAGAAACAAAATCAAATCGGACAGAAAACACCGTGAAACTTTCAAATAAAGAGCGTAATGGAAATGGATCTCATATGTTGGAAGTTGCAATGGTTCTTCTTTCAGATATGATAGTAGAGGCGGGCTCATTACATTACATGGAAAACGGGGAAGGGTCAACATCTCGTTTCTTTTTAGAAGCTATTTTTCCGATCATTCGTACAATGGGTTCCCAATATACTTCGCTGTTTTTGGAATCCGTTTTTCGATCTATGGATGAACAGCACTTTGCAGCACGTTTAGAGAGTTCTTCGGAAAATGCTTCAGAACAGACGGTGGGTGTGGTGATCAGTTTTTTAAGACGCTCTTGGCGCGAAATTTGTACGAGCTAGTGAAGGACCCTGTA